GGCAGAGTGAGGCTGCGAGGGTGGTTGCGAGGCGCCGGCAGAGGAGGTACAGGTCTTTTTTTTTTTTTGGATTTTAAGTTATAAAATATTTAAAATATAATATATTTTATTTAAAGCCACATGGATGTATACTATTGGATGTGTGGGCTCCACATACGTGCCACATCAGCTACTTAATAGAAAATTTGACGGAAGCTAACGGTAGGGACCATTTTGATGTGTGAAGGGTAACCTTAGGGACCATTAGTGTCACAAAAAAACGTTAGGGACGAAATGCGATAATTTTGCAAACCTAAGGGACCATTTGTGATAAAAAGCCTTACTTTATTTTACAAACAACATAGTAAACAAAAAAAATGAGAACATTAAATGATGACTTACACAATGAATGATTTTTTTCTTTGTTTTAAAAATAAATGGTTTTGTTCATGAGATGACATGGTGAAATGTATATATATATATATATGCCTTAGTGCCCGTTTGACATTACTTATTTGGGGTGATAAGTGATTTTTTAAAAATTTTGAGAAGCCCAACCCGTTTGGTAAACTGTGAAAAAATCACTTATTGTTAAAAATTGCTGTGAGAGAAAGCTATAAGGGAAAGCAGCTAATGAGGTGCTTTTATTTTCTGATTATGCAGGAATCAGTTTCAAAGATGCGCTGGGTTTAATGATTATGTAGGAATCATTTTTTTGATTATGCGAGAATTAATACCAACAATACTTTTAGCAAAAAGTTTACCAAACGTCAAACTGATTTCTCTCACAGCTGATTTCTTTCACAGCAAATCTGACAGCGATTATTTTCACAGCACAGCAGTGCCAATAGTGCCAGTTTGGCATTGCTTATTTTGGGTGATAAGTGATTTTTTAAAAAATTTGGGAAACCCAGCCCGTTTGGTAAACTATGAGAAAATCACTTATTGTTAAAAATTGCTGTGAGAGAAAGCTATAAGGGAAAGCAGCTAATGAGGTGCTTTTATTTTCTGATTATGCAGGAATCAGTTTCAAAGATGCGCTGGGTTTAATGATTATGTAGGAATCATTTTTTTGATTATGCGAGAATTAATACCAACAATACTTTTAGCAAAAAGTTTACCAAACGTCAAACTGATTTCTCTCACAGCTGATTTCTTTCACAGCAAATCTGACAGCGATTATTTTCACAGCACAGCAGTGCCAAACTGGCCCTTAGTGAGTAGTTATTGCCGTGTCGTATTAATTAACTAACTGATTAGCAATTGAGCGTCCTCGTGCTTCTCATTAAATGGTCAAATTGATTCATTTATTTTTTATTTTCAAGGTACTTTCATTGATTAAATTGAATGCACGGTCAATTCGTTTTAGTAAATTTAGGTTTTAGCCACAAAAAAACTTTCACTTTTGGAAAAAGCCAAGACTTTTTTCAAAAAGACAGAAAAACCTCTCAACTTTCAAATCAAAGACATGCAAATGTAAAGGATTCCTTAGGAAATTCAAAAATAAATAAGGGCAATTTTGTCCATTTTGGCTTCTTTTAAAAAATTTCTCTCTCCTTTGGCCTTTTTCAAAGTCTCCCGTTTGTTTTAGGGGGTGTATTCAATTAGGATTCTAGAGCGTTTAAAAAGATTTTGTTTAAGTGCCAGCTTTCATAGAACTTGATGGAACTTTATAATTCGTATAGAACTTGATAGACTTTTAGAAGACTTCTGTATAATTTTTTAATAAGCTTTCATAGAACTTGTATGGCTTTTATTCCAGACTTATGTAGACAGTATATTTCATTTTATCCCCATCCTTGTCATTTTAATGAAAGAAACTTGAATTTTTTCAATCAAATTTGTTTTTGTTACCCAAAGCAAAAACAAAAAGTACTTGTTTGCGATGGAAGAACATATGCACAGTTCAAAATGAAAAGAATAAGAAGCAAATTTAAAGTACCTATTTGACCAATGAATGCTATGTCAACTAGAGAAGCAATTGGATCGGCTGTCAAAGCCAGTGTGAAATTGGGACTTAGGTGACGAGGGGTAAATTAAATGACACAAACACAACCACAACAAGCTTCACACACTTTAGACCTTGACCAAAACACTTATGACTAGTCAACTGCTAGTCATGAACAACCACAATCAAGAATACACACAGAGCATGCCACAATGTACCTGCAACCCTAGAAAAATACTAGTGACAACCTAGGCACTCAGAAGGACCCGTCAATCTAGGCATCCCCTGTGCTAGCAACAACTATGGTGGAAGTGTGTGAAAACATTATAATCAAATAAATACCAAACATCAGATAATGATGACTAGTCAACCACCAAGAACACAAACCCAGAAAAATTACAGATAT